GATGGCACAAGCTGGGGTGTGCACGAGAAGGGAAGGGACTGTGTACAAATATTCCAATAACTTCCTTAGTGTATGTGCCCAAAGAAAGACATTCGCAGTTACATGGCTTGTGAACTTGCTCGATTCTTATTTTTCCAGCTGCAACAGAGCAAACTAGGTCAGGTACGATGTCAATGAAAAGATTAGTTCATTGGCGGATGTTACGGGCCTGGTTGGTTATGTAAATAGCGGGGTTCGTTTAGGAGCTCGTCAACAAATACGTCCAACAATATGTTGAGTATGCAATTGAAAAAGTACAAATGTGTCCCTGAATAAATAAATTAAAAGATCCCGAAAAAATGGTATATTGTATAACCCCTGAAACTTCGCAGTGAAATGATCGATGACCGACATGTATGCATGCCAGTTTTCAAGACCTTTTATAATAGTGGATAATAGCGTAATGCATGTTAGCTTACGGAATTAACACCTTCGGTTTAAATGATAACACCTGTGTACCCAGTAAACAACTGGACGGACCGTGCAAACTGCATTTCCCATGATTCCCTGGTGCAATCCCTGTGATTGCAGAGCCGCGCTTTAAAACAAAAGGCCACCAGTCAGCCATTTTTATATATGTATATCAAGGTCCTAATCTGTTCAATGCATGTTCATAGTTCGAACACAATCTATTCATACATGAGCATGGAGACCCTGTTCCAGAATGAAAAAAATACTTGATTTTTATGAATTTTAGATACAAAAATGGCTGCATAGTTATCCAAGATGCATGATGTATGTGTGAAGTTTGCATGTGATTGGTCTAGGCATGTCCAAGCGAGATGTAGGCACAGAAACACAAACAGATCAATCCAATAGTTTTTGGTTTCGGACTGCATCCAAACAGGAACTTAAAATGACACGCGTTCATGTGTTTGAAACGTTCGATATTGGTGAATCTTTACAACTAAAAAGGCTGCTATTTCACATCAGTGAATATGTGTGGAGTTAGAACTGGAGAGGTTTAAGTATGCTTAATCACTCATCAGGAAGAGACCATTGCTGACTAATTTTCATTTCAAGCATTGCTATCAGGTCCCCTGCAGCAATATGCACATTTTATTCAGATTTGTTAATGTGAAATTAAGGCTTGGACTGCAAACAGAATCAGACAGCAAGCTGTAGTTTCAAAACATTGGGTCACCATGGCTATGAATTGTGCATAGAAAATCCAATCACCAATCAGACAATGTCCAAGCATTGTCTTACACACAAAGAAAAGTTTAAAGTGAATAGTATATTTTATCTATTTCATTGGAAGTTTTCTTTCAAAAGGATTGAATGGAACAGGGCCATTTTGTACGACTGAAGTTGGTTGTGGCTGATTGGATGATAGATTCCCTGAAATGACACGAGGTATTTTAACACGTTTACAGTACCATTCACATCCCAGAATGTAAATCAATGCAGCACATAACATGACATACCGCGCAAGATAAATATTTAAATTTAAATCCAGCAAACATTGCGTGATCACCTGAACATTTTGTGCATTTCCGTATTGCGGCAAATGTTTTATCTAATCATGTTTGAATGACAAACGTTTCTTATCCTCCTTAGGAGCCGACTTTTTTTATTTCTCGCAACCTCACACCACCACCAAATTTTTCTGTCAGTGTAAACATTGAGCAAAAATGAACTTTGTGGTACCAAATAAGTGAACACATGGTTTCATGTCATACAATATATATATATTTATAATAATGTAGACGGATGAAATAATTTTTCAGCCGACCAAGATTTTACACTTTGCATGTTTACTTTGGCCCGGTATTCAATTGAATCCAAAATATGAAAATTTTAAAAAGTTTTATCAAGACAATGATACTACTAGTATGAACTACATACATTTTGAGAATCCACCATACTTTCCCAAGGCTCAGCAAGGCTTGCTTGCCTCTGGCATCGACTGGAGATGTGAATCAAACATTCATGTGTGGAAGATGCAATTTTTATATATTTTTTTTAACAGTTGGAAGGCAGGCCATCGTTGGGGAGAGGATGCAACTTTTGGGTAACTGAATATTTTACACTGCAGTAGGCCACATTACGTGTAGTAGACTTAAAACCCTCAACCCACCCAGCCACATACACTTGATCAGATATGGAGTAAAAACTTTGAGAGCACTGCCCAAGCTTCAAACTGTATATACATGCATGAAATTGTTGAATAATCGATTTGTTTCGGAAATTTCGGGGAGGGTTTAGCAGAGCATAGATCCTATACATTGCATAGGATAATCCCAGGAGTCGTAGTACATGTACATGCACTTGGAAAACAATTTAACGGACCTCTGTATCACAATATGTAAACAATAATATTGCAAACTTGAATCACCAGAGGGACTGTGCTATCACCCATTTTTTTTTTCTGGGAATTTATTTGGCTGGTTTTATATTGGAGATGTGTTAATACAGAGTAACAATTATTGCAGTATTGTGTATAAAGTTTATAAAGAGAAAACAATGTGATAGTAGAAACGTATATGTTGCATTAACAGGATTCTGCCAAGCTGCTTTCAGTATTGGTTGCTAATTAATATTCATGAGCTGATTATATTAATTTTTGTCAACTTAGTTAAATTAATCTGCTTCGATAAATATGAATAGATTTTATTTCAGAATCGCATCTAAAATGTGTATCGAGACATTGACCCCAATCATTACAATCAAAGTGGAAATGAGAATTTTTCTTTCTTTTAATGGAATACTGATAAATCACATTTATAGTGTGAAGTGATTATTCCTTGGATTAGTCTCAACACACTTGGTTCTGCATTTAATTTTATGGAGGAGTCATAAAAACTAAAACCTCAAATAAGTTTACTACACTCAAGTGCAAGTGCAGATTAGCCCTATTGTCAATTCGGGCAAGTTA